GTTTCCTCCCGCCCTCCCCCCTAAGGAGACCCCACGGGCGGTTCCCTCTGCTGGATCACAACCATCAGAAAGAGGGAGTTTCGAAGCGGACTCCACTCTTTACAATGACAGCGAGGAGGATCTATCCGACGCATCACCCACTCAAACTCACCACACTTATATCGCCCCAGCTTTGCCTCCCATCAGGTTCTCCCTTCCAGCCGACTTCTCCGACCTTTTGTTCCCCCTTCCAGCCGATGTCTCTGATCGATTGAATGCTGCCAAAGCCGCCGACACCCTTAAGTCGGTACCCGAACACAACGAAGTACCCTCCACTCCTCCACCAACTGCCACATCTCTCGCTAGTAATGGGACGTCGACTAGCAGCGGTGCGGGTACAATTGTTGCGTCGCCAGCTGTTTCGTCGTCAGAGCTTGGCACCACCAAAGGAGACCTCAGGGGGAAGAAGCACCGCAACCCGTCCCCCACCTCTGCCAACGGTGATATCAATCACACTGTCCCCTCGACCGACGTGTACCTAAGGCGGTCTTCGTCAGACACTTTTGGCCCTTCGGTCGATTCTAGTGATTTCAAAGATACGAAGTCGCCTATGATTACGGTCACGGAGTCTGAACCCAGTCCTTCGCCACATTCTTCACAAGGCAGTCAAGATGCTCTTGTCTGTAGGCGACTAAGAGAGGTCATTGAAGACGCCCAACAGCGTGGCGTACAGCAGTTGAAACTTGAGAAGCAGTTCGTTGAAACCATACTCAGTGCACTTGAGTCTAAACGTGAGGAATGCTCGGAAATGAAAAGCCGACTGGATGGGATGAAGGTACGTGGTGTCATGACGCAACTGAGCTCTAAATTCAACATCCTCTCAGCGTGAAAGTCGCCAATACATGGACGGTATCTCGGTTGCCTCATCCGAATACGACAAGGAGCTGAACGCAAGACGTGCTGCTGAGGCGGAGGTCACTCGATTGAAAGTCTTGCTATCTGGGCAAGCTGCGAGCCTCAACGCGATGTTAGAGGAGACGGGACGTCAGCAACTATTGCAGAAGATGACCAAGGAACTGCACGATAATCTCGCTGGACTGGAGCAGAACGTGTCCAAGTTGCGCGTGGAAAGAGATATGACACTCGCTGAGGTTGAAGAGCTGTCAAATTCCAAAGGGTGAGTTGGTATGGTTTTCAGAACGACTCAGACTGACTTTAGACCTAGTACCACAACTGCGAATGCGGAGACTCCTCCTGCCAACCTTGGAAGATCCCTCACAAAGCGTCTTGACAACATCAAGTCACAATATAAGCACGAGCTCATCCCACTGAAGGAGCAGAAAGAGGCCTTGGTCAGAGAGATTGCTGAGTTGAAAGCTGCGAGAGAAGCATGTCTGGAAGAGACAACCGTTTTGAGCGCACGCTACGAGGAAATCGCAGAACTTACCAACCAATATGCTCGCCGGATGGACAGCCTTCCTGAAACTCCTGCCAAGAATCCTGTTTTAGTTGCACCTACTCGTCCGCGAGGTTCTTCTATGGACAGGGGTCAGCCGGTTCCTCCACCGATGGCTCACTCAATAAGTCTTCCTGCTAATTCGGCACTACACAACGATGGGGCCCTCAAAGTGCAGAAACCAGATGTGGTAGACATGCCCACTCCCGGGAAAAAGTTCAAGTGGACGGGCGTGAAAGCACAACTAGTTGGTGTCATGGGCGGTACTCGTGGTAAGGCAAAGTCGGAGCACACCTTTCAACAGATGAGTATACTGCGCTTCACCCGATGTGATCACTGCGGCGACAAAATGTGGGGGTCGCAGCTCCGCTGCTCTGGTCAGTCTTCTCATATGCATCCGAGCAAGAGTGCTGAAGTATACTAGGCTGTAACATTTCCGTGCATGTTCGATGCCACAATCACGTGTTCGCTTCCTGTTCCCAGCAAAATTCGCAACACAGAGAACTTGATGTTGCGGAGCCTCGTAGGTCCTTCTTTTCCCAGACGATCTCAAGCGATCTCATATATTACAGTGGGACCATCCATGTTTGGCAGAGATTTGACAGAGCAAGTACAAGCTGACTCCCAGGGAGGTTATCGTCAAGTTCCTGTGATAGTGGAGAAATGCATCGCTGCTGTTGATGCTCTTGGTAGGAAATTGCGAGCCCTCCTCGCCCTTTGTTTGTTGACGATTGTTGTAGCCCTCGATTACGAAGGCATCTACCGGAAGACAGGCGGCTCCAGCCATACGAAAAACATCACTCAGCTTTTTGAACGTGGCGATTATTCCTCCTTCGACTTGACTGATTCCGAACGGTTCAACGACATATGCAGCGTCACTTCTGTCTTAAAGACATACTTCCGATCGCTGCCCATCCCTCTACTTACCTACGACCTACACGACAATTTTATGTCGGCAATACAACTAAGAGAACCTTCGGCAAAGAATATCGCCCTTTTAGAGTTAATCAACAGACTACCCACCGAGCACTACCAAACATTGCGTGTTCTCGTCCTTCATCTACATCGGTATGCTTCTTGATCGTTCTCCTCTGGCTCGGCGCTGACTGACTTGCTTCCTCAGCGTCTACCAGCATAGGGAGACGAATCTTATGAGCGCTCGTAATTTAGGTGTTGTCTTCGGTCGTAAGTCTGGTTCCATTTGACTTCGAGAGCCTTCCTCAAGGATGCAATTGCAGCCACGCTTTTGAGATCGCCAGACCCGAGCGCCGAGTTCAGCGACATGGCAGGCAAGACCCTGTTTATCGAATGGATTGTCGAGAACGCCACCTTCGTTTTTGAAGAGGACGGCTCATAGTCAGGACGGATTTATTTGTATATACATTTCCTTTGTGTACGCAGTGGGTTCTTTAAGGTTAATGGTACGTTAAGCCTCCTTATGGCAGGCTGATGGGCACATTGTATTCTCTCCTTTCATCTTATACGCAGCACATCTCATTAGATACCCTAAGTTACATGGATTCCATTTGTTTGATTACATACGGGCTTGTACCTAAAGCATCACCCTGCACAGTCATTCTCTTGCACGCGGTACTGGACGGGTCACAATCTCTGGCTTCAACGAACAGTAAAGGAAATGTCGCCGAGGGCCGGTTACTCCTCCAGCGACGGCGGCGGCGGCGGCGACTCGCGCACCTAATGGCGCAGACTCTGTGCCACTCCCCCGAACACCAAGGGAGAACATCCTATCGAAAACTGGTCGAAAGGAAAGAGTGAGGGAAAACGGATATCAAGGGGAACAGTACACACGTGTTGCAATGAAGGCTTTAGCACTAGTCTGGCAGGCAAGATGGCTGAGGGCTAACGGTGGGCTGACTCCTTCAAGCATACGAAGATACCGAAAAACCATTGAAGGTTGCGGGGGTCCTATGAGGCGAAGTCATCTGAGAGCTATGTTTGTCAAGCCATACGGTTGCAGCGCACCGAATCTGAAGACAGCATGGTAGGCTTGTCGCCATTTCTCTTCTAGGAGGCGAGCACAATTGATTGAATCTGGGCAAGATGGGCACTGGCGAATGAACGCCTCGTATGCTAGGCAGCGTGTCTATGTATGGACTTACGCACTGATACTCTTTCGCAATCATTGTGAGGCCCAACTTCAATACTCGCTCAAGGAACCAATTTCGTCTAAAGGTTCTTGATTTCAGAAGGGAGGGGTCAGCAGGAGCGCACGACGCGCACCTCTTCTCTAATTTTAGGAGTGTCTCCTGGCTCAGCGTATTTAGTTCATGCTCTGACCAGCCCCCGGGGTTGTCCAAGACGAATCGGCTGGCTTCTCGGTACAGTTCTTCTTCCTCGAAGAGCTCTGCGATACGAAGGGCTTTGATTGGCCTGCCAGCCGCGCTTTTGAGCAAGAAGGTCAGGCACTCTTGCTGGAGAGACGGCACCGAGAGTTTGTGGGAGATATTCATGAGCCCTTCGACGTTGTTCCATGTTATAGTACAAACGAGGCTGTTGTATGCGCAGTAAGAAAGATGTACAGTAGCAGAAGGGCACAGTGCAGACGAGCTTACTGTGGATAAACGAACTTGAGGAAGTCGTGAAATGTGCTAGCCTACATGAAGGATCAGATCGGGGAATATATGCGACTCAATCAACAGGGAAACGCACGCGTTCCTCTTTGAGAACAATAACTGCGTCGGGGCCATTCCTGAGGCGTCGTTTGAGATTACTCTGGGAGGCGGATTTGGCGGTAGTAGGTACTTCAAGGCTAATATTATCCGTGGAAGATCGCGATGAAGTGCCCTGTAACTTGGCTAGGCTCGAGTTTCTAGCTTTGGCTCGCTCTTCCTTTGCTGAATCACTCTCTTCGGAGTCGCTTGAAGACGCAGCTGGCTCCATCCTAGCAAGTTCCCCGGGTACGAGAATCTCCAGGTCCTCTGGATCTACGTCTGGGTCCATTGGCGCGAAGGTCATCTCCGTAGGACCTTCGCGGTTGCCCTTGTCCCCTGGGTTCGAAGGTGGCTGAGAAATGGTAATAATGGACGACATGGACGGAGGTCGCCCAGTCTCCGCCCAGTTCCCACTAAGAGCAGCCTCGAAGAACGGGGAGGAGAAGAACAGAACCTCTTTGTGCGCCCTACCCTTAGCGTCATGATAAGCGGTGGCTACTACTATATCGGCGACCTACCAGAATGTGGTAGTCTCGACGATGATCTTGACCGTGCCAGGGAATCTGCTGTTCTTGGTGAACGTCTCGTCAAGGTCAATGGCCAGGTCGTCTGAGTCGATGCTCAAGTCGGAGACAATATCGTCGGTCTCGCATTCCTCTAGCAGCCATGGAGGGGAGCCCGTGGCGCGGAATATGCCAGCCGCTGCTGCGTGTGTTTCTGTCGGGGAGCTGAGGGACGCGGAGGGCGTGTTCGGGCCTCGAGAATGTCGCGCGATGAGGATGTGAGAAGGATTGGTGCTCATCGTGGTCAATGTCGAAGGAGAGCAGTACAGCTAGCCCCTGTCTAATCACGAGCTCTCAATATGAGCTTTAATAGGGGTTCTTTAGTATCGTGGCTTAGTAGTGTAGTGGTTATCACACCAGATTCTGACCAGCTTCACTCTTTTGAGAATATGTGAATTCTGGTAACCCAGGTTCGAATCCTGGCTAGGCCTCTGTTTTTTGTTCTCCTCGGAGTGCGAGATATAGCAAGACAAATAGAAATTACAGCCAACAACTACGACTACACATCTTTCCGACGCTTGGTCTTTCTTTTTCCTATCTCCTCCTTCCCTTCACCTTGTATTCGTTTTCGCTTTTGGACGACGCGTTTTGTTTCTTCCTCTTCCGACTCGAATTGCTCAATTTCCTCATCGCCAGCCTCGCTCTCTTCAACGCTCTCAGCATCTAAAGGAATGCCGTTTTCTGAAGTTGAGCCATCTTGATCGTCCTCGGCTTCTACTTCTTCTGAGGGAGGATTGCCAAGTGTATGTGCTGGCGAGAAGGGGTCGCTCTGAAGTGACCCAACGAGTGAAAGCATTTCGTTCGCAATGGTTACGCTGTCCATATTTCATGAGTGTCCGTACCTGACTGGTGAAGTTGCAGCTTACCCGACTACGACAAACGAAACGAATCCACTTTCTCCGCCAACCATCTCTGTGGTCAGTTTATGGATCCATCGACCGCTATGACCTTTGGACATTTCCTCTGACGCGTCCTGTTTCGCTTGAACTTCATCGTGATGAACAGCACCGAACTCTGGGTCGTTTTCAGCAGGACCATACTCAAACTCCCAGTCATTCATCGGGATATGACGCCGGGGTATCGAAACATTGAATGTTCGATGGACGAGAAGGGATATGTGATCGGGAGAGCATAGGTTAACCTTCCCAGCTTGCAGAAATGGATGAGACTAGGTATTATGAAGCGAGTAGCTGGGAGTGCTGAAAGCAAACTCACTGATTTTCATTCCGACACGGGGGCTCCATATTACTGCATCGAACGCAACATCGCATATTAGGTATGGGCTGTCTCCTTTTATTATTCCGGTATCTTGGATGAAAGAAAGTTTGGAATGAGATAATACCACGCCCTCCAAAGCTGGTATATACCTAGTATCTAATGCATGAGACGGCAGTAATTACTGGGAAAACTATGTTCATACCGCATCACCATAGAATCTAGCAATTCCTCCACTCCGATGCGGGGGTTACTTGCAAATAGGGGAGATATCGAAACGGTTAACGTGGTCCTGACGAGCCGAAATTCACTTTCTTCTGGCACCTCCTTCCCCTTCCCCTTGTCCTTCTTCAGAAGTGGTGTTGTGGCTGCATCCGAGTCGAACTTCGTGGATTTTTTGAGAACGCTCCCGCCTATATCCTGAGCATGTTTGCGCTTTTTTGAGGGTGTATTGTGCATCCGTATCGCGAGTGTAAGATTTGAACCCCTGCGGGCTTGAAGTTAAGCGTGTCTGACACGGGATGTATTTCCAAAAATTTTGGTCGCGACGAATTCCCACGCTCCGTCTCCGTGTGTCTCTGCCTGACCACTTTCTCTGTGCATTCAATCTCTTTCTTTCGCTTGCTTGCTCTACGTCAACTTAATGGTTAGTACATCGCTGGTTGGTTTTATACTATTGCTGACCACGAGTGCAGTCTAATCCCCCTAAATTATTAATCTCTATAGTTGTAGCAGCAACGCGGATACTTGGGAAAGCATTTTTGGAAGCCGGAAGGCAGGCCGTCAAAAGTTCGTGATACCCTACACTCTTGTATTGAAACGATGGCTTACTGTTTTGTAGATGCAAAGCATGCCCCACAAAACGCGATTGGTGCTGACGTCGCCGGTGTTAGCAATGCGACCTCGGGGACCATAACAGATCAACTGACACGGCAACACCGCATGACGCTTGATGAGGCACACCTCATTCTCAACATAAAGAGAGGTGAATCCATGGAGAATGTTCTGAAGGTCAGAGTCAGTCTACTCGGATAGTCAGAACCATATTGACAACCAATGCTCCGTCATCCAGCATTATGAACATCTCTTCAAAGCCAACTCACCACCTCCGCCACTACCAAAGCCACAGGCTACAGGCGGCAAAGTCCCGCCGCCGCCTGCGCACTCGCATTACCTACAATCGAAAGTAGTACGGGCTCGAGAGCGAATAGAAGCGGAGGTAAAAGCTGGAGAATCACCAGCTCCGGCCAACCCTGGAGCTCCTGGTACAGATGCGCCCTCATCTTCGACGGCGTCTAGAGCCGCGGACAGTAGTTGACGATGATGATGATTTGTATATAGCACATCTTAGATTAGTATACCACCTCCGTTCTTGACGACGGCCAGTGGCTGCTTGAGTTCACCAGGGCACCATGGGCGCTTAGCGTCTTATTCTAATTTAGGACTTAATTATGTCAGCAACCGCGTGGCTCTGGGCAGGAGATGCTTGAACGCTGCCTCTCTCAGAAGCCGCGTTCGCTCACCCAACCTCTTCTCCTCTCTCCTCCCACCATGACAGCTCAGGAGCCGTCAGTATCACCGCAAAACGACAAGTCGTCTAATAACCCCTCCTCAGAACCACCAGCAAAGGTTTCTGAGGCGAATGGTAGCCCCAACCAGGCCGCCAAGGTCAATGGAATACACGAAGGCTCCAATGCTTCTGCCAGCAATGCCTCGATAGGACGAAGTAATCAGGACGGCGTGGTGCCGGGCACAGTAGCGGAGGCCTCAGTAGCGTCCCAGGATGCCTCCAAGTCGCCGGCGCCAACGGCAAAAGTCCCAGCTTCTGAGCCTGCAACGGAGGAGGAGAAAGCAACTGTTTTGACCAAGGAAAATGGAGCTACTCCGAATGGGTCCGGCACTGTACGAGACGCTCCTGGAGATATATCCAAACGAGATAAATCTGGGAATGGGACCCATCCTACTCCTGTTCCGATAGCGAAGAAGTCGAAGTCACCTAATTCCTCAAACAGGCCTTCCTTTTTCGTGAAACTCGTTTACAAGCTCGTCCCGTGTGTTGGTCCGTCAAAGGCTCACGAGTCGCAACCGGAGTCTTCTACCCAACCTGAGCAAAGTACATCCAACGAAAAGACCAAGGCTGAAGACCCTCCAACCCAGGCTCCCGTCCCTCCGAAGAAAGATGTAGAGACGTCGGAGAAAACGTTGCCTGTGTCCTCTGACACAGCCGAATCCTCAAAGATTGCTATCGTTATTCCACCACCCATCAGCACAACGCCTCCCCCAATCTCAGACTCCGACATAATAATACCTCCAACCCCAACGTCACAACTACTCCCAGAAGAGGAAACCGGGGGAGTGACTGCTGGGGCAGTCCAGGCACCTGGTTCCACGGGCGGCAGTAGCATCCATATCCACCATGAACACAAAAAGAGAGACTCGACTATTGCCACAAACGGGGTTGGTGATGGAGACGAGTCCGAGGCAACGAGCTTCGATACAGACGACGAACTAGATGATCCACCTCCAGAGGAAGACGATGAAGATATCCTCATACTAAGGGGTGGAGCGGGGATTCCTATCGGACCAGTACGTTCTGGCAGATTCAAAATTCAGCACATATTCACTAGGACTTCCGAATGCTTATAGGACGGCGTGCCAAAACCGCTTCTTCCTCCGATTGCCCCTCAACATGTTGGCAGAAAGTGTCTGGTTCTTGACCTCGATGAGACCCTAGTGCACAGCAGTTTCAAGGTACGATACGCTGTCACTTCCGACACTTCCATTCACCCGTCTTCGACCAGTCTATCCAACAAGCGGATTATGTCGTCCCCGTTGAGATTGAATACCACTGGCACAACGTCTATGTGATCAAACGCCCCGGAGTGGACAACTTCTTGAAAAAAATGGGTGAAATCTACGAAGTCGTAGTGTTCACCGCCAGTCTCAGCAAGGTAATGTCACCATAACTTGACATCAGCTTCGTTGACTGATCTTACGTTTCACTTAGTATGCTGACCCAGTACTTGACAAATTGGATATCCACCAAGTTGTCAGCCATCGACTTTTCCGAGAAAGTTGTTACAATCACAAGGGTAACTATGTTAAAGTTCGTCTCACGATTTACGCTTTGCGATCACCGCTCATATAACATTCATCACAGGATTTGTCGCAACTTGGCCGTCCAATAGGAGACACTATCATTCTGGACAACTCACCCGCGTCCTACATTTTCCACCCCAACAATGCCGTTCCCGTCTCATCGTGGTTCAACGATCCACACGATACGGAACTCACCGATTTAGTCCCCTTCCTCACCGACCTAAGCACTGTCGACGACGTTCGCGGGGTACTGGACGGTGCACGATAGGACCATTGTCGGCGGCTCAGCTTTCGGTGCTTCCTCGGGATCCTCGGAAGTAGCTGACCGCCCGTCAACACCCTATCGTCGATACGTTGTCTAATTGGTGGTGACTGCCTCGTATACGGCATACAAAGCACGGAGACCACATTTTGTTTCTTACGCATATCCTATTCTACGTCTACATCTGCAATTCTGTCGTTTCCGGTGCTTATCCATTTTCCTTCTACATCACGCTCTCTTCATGCCTTCGCACTCACAACGCCTCTTAATATACCCATGCAAGCAACCTACCGTATGCTCCTACGCCTAGTTCGTCCGGCTCTATATACCGGTAAAATGCCGTCTCCCTCCTCATACCGCTTGATATGTTATCGTGGTAGCATTCCTTTTTCTTAACTTTTTAACTACGTTTTGCTGTGCACTCCATCGACTTAGTACCGTACACGCTGTTTTCGAGTACTCGTTTTTCGTAGGCTTTGCGTTGTAGACGGGTGTTATGAATCCATGAATATGACGAATAGGAATTTTAATGCTTTTCATCGAGATGTCAGGGTGTTTGAATTGGTTGGGTAAATCTGGATATCAACCGTTTTTGGTAGATTGTGTGCTCTGGACCACATTCTGAGCATAGAGTAACTGTGTAAGGCACTGTTGGTAGTGACATAGGGCGCGCCAAGGCTCAAAGCCCATCATCACGCCTAGTGAAGAATGAGGTCCTCAACGCATGGGGTCTCGCTTCGCTCCAAGAATCCATCGTCATTCCTAAGTGAGATGCGAAGGAATGCAAAAGGGCAAAGGTTCTGCTTAAATGGGACCAAGAAGGGATAACCAAGCAAATACCAGTCATGTCAACGT